AGGGATTGGTGGCTGTATTCAACATAGTGGCCAACTATAATCTCTGATCTGTGTTTGCCAATTCTGTTGACCATTAAGGATTCAGAGTGATGGCACGTTGTAAAATTGGAAGTTCAGATTTGTGGCAGTTGACATTACCACAGCCCTATCTGTGACTAACCCTCGTTTTCTTGATAATCTTGTAGAATCAAGAGGCTTGGTTCTTTGAGAACCAAACACTATTAAAGTGGATCAGAAGAGGCGGTTGATTTATTGCTGTCTTATGCTGTAAGATATTTGAAACCAGGAGTGCAGTTCTGTTTTAGAAGGGTGGTTCTAAGGAGGAGTGAACCTTGGTATTTTTCAGATTTTTATCACAAATGTATAAGGACCCTTTGTATAAATCTGTTCTCTAAGTGTACCTCTCCTTGGACTTGTTCAAAGCATCTATTTTTATTTCTGAAGTTTTTAAATTAGGATATAGTCAGTAGAGAGATGGCTCTAATTTTTTTGACTCTTTTAGTCTTGTCTGGTTAAAAAAATTGGTTCTGCTTTGGGACACCTGGGTGGCTCAGTCAGTAAAGTGTCCGACTTCGGCTCAGGTCACAATCTCACGGTGTGAGTTCGAGCCCCACATTGGGCTCTGTGCTGGCAGCCCAGAGCCTGGAGCCTGCTTTGGATTCTGTCTCCCCCCCCCCTCTCTGTCCTTCTCCTGCTCATACTCTGTCTTGCTGTCTCTCAAAAATAAAGAAAAACATTAAAAAAATAGATTATGTCTTTTTAAAAAAATTTTTTTTACTGTTTATTTTTGAGAGACAGTGAGAGAGAGACAGTGCGTGTAAGCAGGGGAGGGACAGAGAGAAGGAGATAAAGAATCCAAAGCAGGCTCCAGGCTCTGAGCCATCAGCACAGAGCCCATCACGGGACTTGAACCCATGAGCTGAGCTGAAGTTGGACACTCAACTGACTGAGCCATCCAGACATCCCTAGATTCTGCCTTTTGTAATCAGTGTTATTTGAGAGTAAAATAACAAAGAGAAGATCAGTCTTTTGCTTCTCTATGTGACTTAAGTAGCAAGGTCATTTTTATAACCTACTTTGTGTCCTTTTTTCCCCTAGGATACTACATTGCTGTGCAATTCCTCTTTCCCTTGTAATCTGTTCTACTTTAAAAAAAAAAAAAAGAAAGAAAAAGTCATGGCTCTATATTAGGTCTCTTTATCACTTTAGATGGTGAAGAAAATATATATTTTTGTAGCTGGGACAATAAGTACATTTGAATATGATAAAATGGGTAATCTACTGTAATATAGTCTATTGTGTTTGAGGTGAGCTCAGTATCACAAACAACTGGAGGGACCATTTGTAATGCAGTAGTTACAAAGGGACGTACTTCTTGATTCTACCATTTGGGACACTCACCAGGTACATTTTACTACGATTAATTGGAATACAGGCACAAAGGAGATGAAAGGCTGATGAGAATATTTAATTATTTTAACTATGATTTGATACTTTTGCCCATTGTAGGCACGAAAAAGATAAAGATTTATTCATTTTAGACTATTGTGTGGGATTTAATGTTCTTAAATGCTTTTTAAAATTCAGAGAAAATTATGCTTGTTAGAGATTTTGCCATCCTTGAGGGATCTTTAATTTGTTTGTTGTATGAGCTTTTATAATAGATATAAACAGCCCGCTTAACTGCTTGTCTGCCATTATGGAAATATGCATTCTGGATGTGAAAATGTGAGTGCCTGTACTTATTTTTAGTGGGCTTATTTTTGGCAGTAACTCTGGCAGAGAACTAGGACTCTTTATGTGAGAGCCATCCATCCATCATCTTAAGTAATTTTCATTCTGGCACTAGAGAACCAGAATTTCTTTGTTCTGATGTTTTCAATTTTGGATGGAAACAGACTGATTCTTCTAGGCTTCTGAGTCCTTTGGAATGACCTAGAACTGGACATACATTTAAGTGGAAATACCCTCAAGGGTCCCTAAACTATTTTGCTTCGGGTACAAGATGTGTGACCACGTTGTCGGTGGAACTTTGGCCTGTTCTCATCATAAATCTTTGGTCTCACCCGCACGTAACCTCTGCCCCTGTAGGAGATCTTGATAGAGCTGGCATCCAGTAGACACTGGTGGCTCAGTATGGTCAGATGATAACCGTCATCTGAAGGAATGCTGCGGATGTGCTGAAATGCCTAGTGACTGTGTGTCCTTCTCGGTGGGCGTCTCAGACTTCCACTCATTTTCGGAGACACAAGTGCATGTGTAAATGTATCATCTTTGTCAAAAAACAACAAGACGTTGGCTGTACTCTGGGATTTCAATTCACGCATTTGCAGTATTGGAAGAAAACAGTCTCCATCATTACATAACTGCATTTAGTTTTCTCCCATGTAGATTTAGTGACCCTTCTCTTTGACAGTAGAACCTAAGGAAAGACACTATGTCAGGAATGTTATTTAATGTAGTGTTTAGAGGGGATGGTCTCTGTATGAAAAATGTTCTGCCTGCAAATTAACACAGTAGAGTTCAGACAGCTTGAAACTCTTTTTATTTCCCCCAAGTCAAAATTTCTGGGAAACACTGAGAGTCAAGATTACATAGAATCCTCCTGAAGATATAGTTAAGGCAGATGGGATACACATCTGCTTTTATAATCCCAGAATACAAACATTTATTGTTATAAACTATGTCCGGTGGCTCTGGGAAATTAAATCATGCACATAGGAAACAGTTCCGTTGATATCTTCAGTGGTAGGTAACTCTTTGGATATTTTTATAGGAAAGGATTGGGCCTTTGGGTCTGGAAACATTTTTATCTTTTTTGCTTCAGGCTGGAAATGAGGTAGGCTCCGGAGAAGTTCTGAGAGGGGGTAGAGTTTATGAAATCTCCCTGATGAAAATACCTGTCACTCATTTCCCACTCTGCATAGCAACCGACCTGACTTAAAGCTTCCTCCTGCTGAGTGAGGCGTAAGCATCATTGGCTAGTTAATGCTATTGGTTTTGAAATCTACACTTTCATCCTGTCAAAATTGAGAGGCTCAAATTCTCCTGGATGATGGGAGTAGCTGGGTATTAACTGTCTAAACTCATTTCATTATTATACCATTCAGACCCTTGACGGCTGCCCAGGTTTGATATTCCTCTTGCCTAGGTGTGTTAGCCGTGTGTGTGTGTGTGTGTGTGTGTGTGTGTGTGTGTGTGTGTGTGTGTGTTGGTTGAAGTCGCACTGGAGACTACCTCTTTGAGGTGGAGTCTGCAGCATTGTGCACTATTGGATGTCCTTTTTGTCTTCTACACTTGTTCCATCACGGTGATCCCAATTCCTTGAAGCATTATCACAGCATTAAAAGCCCTCCTGAGCTTTCTGCTGACAGATGACTTCAGCTCCATTAACCATAGTGGGCTTGGTGCTGTAGAACTTGATAGAATACATGTTTGCACAACACTGACTCCTCCCTCTTATTAGTCACAGGATACCCATAGGCAGATTTATACTTCTTGTCTGTTCTGAAGAATGAAAATACATATTTTCGTAAGCATGCTCCATTTTTAATTGTGTAATTAAGTTGCTGACATAAGCAAGTATGTAATTTCACATTAAGGTAAGGATCCGTAAAGGCATGCATTTGCATAATTTAATTTTCTGCACAGAAGATATTGAAAATCAATAGCATGATTCATAGCCTTACCATATCATTGCCATGCTGCTGTTAGTTGGCTGTTTGAGTTTAAAGAACACAAAGAGTATTAAAATTGATTGAATTTGGGGTGCTGAGTCTGTATCTTTACTTGGGAACCTCAGATTGTTTCTTTTGCAAATCTCTGCTCCTTGCCAGTAATATATTATGTTGCTTAGTATACTCAATTCACATCTTTGAGTGCTATTCAAATAATTTCTAAAAATTGTTTTTTAAAAAACACCTTATTATATGATGAAAATACATTTGAAGAGGGGAGTAAAATTCTTTTGTTTTAAATTATAGAAGTGCCATTCGTACATGCTTATGTTCTTAGAGAAAAAGAAATCGCACATTACTGACCTGGATGGAATAAAAGGGAAAACTAAATATAGTCATCTTTAATGAATAGTTTATATGTTAAAAAGAAATCTGGTGTTGGGGTGATAAAGTCCTTTGCCTCCCTGTTCATTTCTGAGTTGCCTCCCTAAACAGTCGCTTATGAGGAACTCCAGATCATTCCCTCCAGCTTCATGTTTTAGATGTTTGCTATTGTGATAATTGGGCAGCGACTATAAAGTGAGGCAGTGGGAAGGTCGTGGTTTTGCTTGTGGCTGATATGAATACACACATGTACATATACACAGATAGATGCACCCACTCTTATCCCCCCCCTCCAATACAGACACTATCAGCCTTTTTGTTGTTCATGTGTGTGCGTAGTCATTCGCTCACTCATGATCGAATACCTACCATATTCCAGACGCCATCATGGATGGTAGGTTGAGAGCTCCTTATCTCTGGGGAGCTTGGAGCCCGTCCTAGGCCACACAGCATGTCCTTCAGAAGCAGGTTTTTTGCCCATTCTTCACCTTGCTGTGTGCAGCTCACATTGTACCTCCATACTTTTGGGGGTGTGATGAAGACGGGGTTAGCCCGCCTTCCTTGGGATAGCCCTGCCCTCTGCGTTACCTCTTGTCAGTTGGCCTGTTTCCAGCAAATACACACGGCTTGTTTTTTTGTCCCAAGTGAACTCCCTTTAGACAGCTCTGCCCCTCAGTTGAGGCCCCTTAGTTCACAGTGTGCTGCATATGGATGGCTGGGAAGACAACTGCTCTTTGAGGTATGGATTCCATTACTTTGCAGTGCCAGGGGAGGACCTTCTGACGGTTATACCTTCCTTGTTTCTTGAATTGGATACGTCTTTGTAGGTTTGCTTTTTCCACTAATAGTTCAGTGGGCTTGGGAAGCTGGCAGGTGTGGGATCCCCAAACCTGCTTACCTGATGAAGCTCTGGGCTCTGTTGCTTTGCTTTTCCTGCAGGATGGCTAACATCGCTGCCCACACGAAAGCAACACCCATGAGAGATGGTTCTGGCAGCCCTTGTCCTCCTTTGTTCCCCATCCGAGTCTTCTCAAAGGTTCTGGAAAATGACAAGCACCTCCTTTTCAGGACAAAAGGGGGATTGGTTGTAGAGATTGTGATTTCAGATAACACCTTCTGTAAAAGGTATAAATGAATATCCTTGAGGATGATTCCATTCCTCCTTTCCTTTTACATCTGGCTCATTTGTGTGTGAGCTTTTCTGGTTGAGTTCAGATTTAGCCACATTCTGAGGTTGATGCTACACCCGTGTGATTTCTGTAGTAAGCGGTTCATCCTTGCCTGGCCAGCCTTTTCCCAGGGTTAACTTAGCCAGTCAGGTTCCAGGCTGTGAGGATGAGTTGAGGGAATGTCAGAGTTGAAGGGGGTCTCTCTGGTCTAGCTCAGCAGGGAAGTTTGTATTTTTATCTCTGACTTCAAAATTGAATCACCTGGAGAACTTCCTTTAAGAAAAGTACCTGTATGCTGTATCTTGGTGCCTCCCCAGATCAAGTGAATCTGAATCTTAAGTGGTAGCCTCCAGGGCATAGATTATTTGTTTTGCTTTTGTTTTGTTTTTAAAGCATCCAAGTTGAGAATTAGAGCTCTAGTCCAACAATGACCTTTTATGCATGGAGAAATTGATGATCAGGTGTAGAATTGACTCATTTGAAGGTCACCAAGGTCACCTTTATAGTATCAATTGGGGATCTTTTGTATACAAGGGACAGAAAAGGGAGCTTTGGCAGGTAATTTGTTCATGTAAATACAAAGCTTCCCACAGGAACATTTTCAGATTACCTTTGTCATGGGCTTTAATTTTGTCAGCAGAATTGATCTATAGATTTTGCTTCCCCTGGTGTGGTTGTATTTTTGAGCTCCTCTCTTCATCTTCTCCTTGACCCCTAGCTAGGCTCCTGAGGCTTTCTGGATCCTGCCCTAACCCAGCCAGGAAGAAGGAAGAATCTCTCTGATTGACTGATGTCCCCATTGCCAAACATGTCACTGGGACCAAGGGCATGGTTTACAGTGATTGGCTGGTTTAAGCCAAACAAGGCCCCCTTGGAGCTGGCAGGGATGGAGTGACAGGATAGACTGTCCATTACATGACTTAACAGGTAGACTTATGGGGCGTGGGTATGATAATGACAAAATCAGAGTCTCTGTAACAAATTTTTTCTCTATTATTTGGTATTTTTGAATCACTCTGTGCCCAGTGCTTAGCTGCTTTGCTCACAGTTTCTTGTGGTGGTGTTGTAAAAATGCTATGAAGCTGCTACTTTTAGCTTCATTTAACAGGCAAGGAAATTCAGGCTCAACCACATACCCTAATGGAGGTCACATTTCTGTGTTCAAGGCAGTGTTTTGCTCATTGCCTTGACAGAAAGAGGAAGGATTATTTGGGAATAATTATTTAGAGTGAACTAGCTCTAAGAAGCATATTAAACAGATACATAAAAAAGTTTCCCACATGCACAGAAAACAAATAAGCTGGACAATTATTTATGTAGTGTGCTTTAATGCAGGGAAAAAATAGGAGTGTAGGAAATGGAAAATTTTATTTTTGATCTCTAGAAGTTTAAAATGGTCATCTTCCTGGATCTCTGCATGGCTTATCTGCAAAATAGTAGGATGGATTGCATGGTGGCTACCTAAACCTTTATCAACAAAAATTTTAATTTTTGTTGTTCAGGACCAACGAACAAACATAAATGGTATCAGTATCAGGTTTACTTTTCAAGCATTTTTTTTTTTTAAACCAGTGTTTGGAGTTGACATGCAATCCTAAAGCATAGATCTCCTTGACTTTCGATGGGGTTATGTTCTCATAAACTTGTCGTAAGTGGAAAATCTCTTGCACTGAGAATGTATTTTATACAGCTAGCCTACTGAATGCCCTAGCTTAGCCCAGCCTGCCTTAAACATGTTCAGAATGCTTACATTAGCCTACAGTTGGGCTGAATCATCAAACACAAAGCCTAGCTTATAATAATGTGTTGAATGTTTCATTTAATTCATTGGATACTCTACGGAATGTGAAAAACAATGGCTGTGTGAGTACAGATGGTTGGAGGTGTGTTGGCTGGTGATCCTCGTGGTCGTGGGGTTGATTGGTAGCTGTGCCCTCTGCTGCCCAGCATAAGGGCAAGAAGATCTTACCCGGCATATTGCCAGCCTGGGGAAAAGATCCAAATCCAACGTCCGAGGTTCGGTTCCCACTGACTGCGTATGGTTTTTGCACCATTAGTAAAGCTGAAAAATTGGTAGGTCGGTCCGTCGTAAGTTGGGGACTGTCTGTACTTTACATGTTTCCTAATATGCCATCATGGTGACATCATTATCATTACTTTGACAAATTCAGAATGGAGAATGTACTGTTTTCTTAGTGCCTTCCTAATCTTAAATTGAATCTACAGTTCTCCTAACCATTGTCCCTGCTTTTTAAAAGCACACTTGATTTTGTTTGGGTGCATTTAAATATTAACATAGATAGCTGGGATGTATTGTTTGAAGTGTAATTCCATTTCATTTTGGATTCTGGACACCTGTGGTATTTGTGTTCTTACATGTCAGTGCCTTCGGGTGTGGGCTCACAAGAAGGGAAATTTACATTCATGAATTGGTTGGGAGGGGAGGAGTTTGAACACTGTAGCAGGCTCTCTGTAATGGCATAGAAGATTGGTCATCATGAAACAGGGTTTCTTTTCTGAGCATTGTTGACCTTGCGGGTTTCGTGTTTCATATCTTCAGGTATAACAGGTGACTGTTTAGGGTCTAAAGGATGTGGAGGATGTGTACTCACACCATGGGATGTCTCCCAGGCCTTAGACTGCGATGTGTTTAGATGGCAGAAGCTGTGGCTTTGATGCAGGCATGCTCATGTTCAGTTCCCCGATGGCTGCATGCTTATCTGTGTTACCTGGGACCAGTTACTTAGTGTCCCTGAGTCTTAATTCCTCCAGTTGTAAAAGAGACCAAATGACCCCTTGCTCTGTGAAGATCAAATAAGGCTTAGAGGCCTTTCGCAGCTAGGACCTAGGCTTATCTACCTAGCCGGAATAAAAACCGCGGATTCCAAGTCTACTAGTTGAGGGACGTTGGGCAAGTTAAAGTTATTTAACTTCTGTAACGTTCAGTTTGCTTATCTATAGAATGGTCTCATGGTCTCATTACTGGGACCACCGGATGTATTGTCTAGTAGTGTTCTGCGGACTGCGTAAGATACTATATGTCAGGGGCTTAGTGCACCATGCTTGGTGACTCAAAGGAAAGGCTCATTGTAAACTACTCTTCGTAGTAATCCTGATAATCTGGTTATATAGGTTATCCTAACCTATATTATAGGTAATATAGGTTATCCTATAGTTGTGTTTCTGTAAGTCAAGAGGTTCTATTCCATTATCCCTGAGGTGTGTGCTTCTGGGAAGTCACCCGAGGTGTGTTGGACACCCTTCCTTTGTCCAGTGAACTCACTGTGCTCTCCCTCTCTTCCAGCCTTGACAGAAGGCTACGTCGGGGCCCTGCACGAGAGCAGACACGGCAGCTCAGCGCAGATCCGCAGGCGTAAAGCTTCAGGTGACCCGTACTGGGCCTACTCCGGTGAGTTGATCTGTTCCCACCAGGATCACACAGGCCAGTCACCAACCCCGTGAAACTCACCGGAGAGTACTCTTTCAATCAGTTTCACACCTAACTTGTTTGTTCAAACCTTTGGTAGTTCACTACAAGTTGCAACACCGGAGCCTGTTTTTCCTCAAGGTTATATAAGTACCTTAATTTATCTCTCCCACCTGTTTTCTCAACCTGCTTTCCCCCCCCTTAATTTGCATTTATTTCTGAACTTTACTTGTTAATGAGTTATTGTACCAAACATGTAATTTCCCAAAAGACACAGCCTTTTCTTTTCTGTCTTTTCAGTGGCTGTGATTTCAGAAAGCAGCAAATACAAGGCTAGTCTTCAGCTGCTAAATGTCTGCTAAATATTACAAAGCGTCACATATCAAAATGATCTGTTGTGCTTTAATCTAAAAAAAAATGCAACTTTATTTTCAAGTCAGATCTTGTTAGTTGAATATATTTCAGCCCTCTATGGCATTCTGCAGTTCTTTTCATTTTTGCTTTTAAACTTTTAGCCTTCAAGCCAGTGGAGATAAGAGAGCATTATTAAAATTATGTTGAATGTTACACTGCAAATAATTTTCTTACATTCTAAGGGGGGAATAAAAATGAACACCTACAAGAATATACAGACATTTCTGGATGATGCTTCCAGCAACCATCAAAAGTAAGATAGGTGGATTGTTAGTTCCAAACGAGATTTTGATGCTTACAAATATATGGAAAATGTATTGTAGCCAATTAAGGAGGAAAGGCTGAGGAAGATAGACAACTTTGGAAATTATGGTGGCATTGAATAATTCAAATAATTTGTAGGAAAAGGCTTGAAGGCATGGGGTATTAGTATTAATAATAAATCTGTGTTTATGCAATGTCATTGCATATAGAATTGCAAGGCATTATTTTCATCATGATGCTCTGGTTTTCAATCCTGAATTTCCACCTGCAAATCTTGTTAAATTTATGTCACTGTAAAATTTATAGGCTTGATCTTTAATTACACCTTATCTATTGGCTTTTTGCATCCTTTTGTCTATTGATAAATCTCCTGCCCCTACGGGGAGAATAGCCTATCTGTTTTGTTTTGCAAGGAACAGATAGCGATTCTGAAGTCTTCCATCACACCCAACTCCTTGTGATTAGAATTATCTAATTAGAGCCTTTTTGTCACCATTTCTGATAAATGAAGGAAATTGCGCGATGAAGGCCAGAGTTACATATATACGTAGCTTCTTGCCAAGAAACGCGAAGAAAATTTATCATTTTGTACCCTGTGGCTCCCATATCAGTTAGGAGGAGGCGTAAAGTGGCCTGCTATTTACAGTTCATCAATCTAGAATAATAATGCTGTTAGGCAGGAAATTGGAAGTTCTATCCCATCAGCATCTCTGATTGCAAGTGGCAGCGAAGAAATGAAAGACCTAAAACTTGCCGTCACTCAGTTAAGAATGGATGCATGTGGTGCAGTCTTTGGAATGGAGCAGTTGTTGACATCCTTAACTCCAGTGGACCTAATGAGTCTCTGTTTTGCATTTACGGAATGCATTTCTGGAATGGATCTGGGAACTGCCTCTATCAGCAGAAGGGCTAGTAGTTCAGTGGCAGGCTTTTGGCACCTCTTTTCTGTAAAAACTCCAGACAGTAAATATCTTAGGCTTTGTAGGCTACGTGTGGTCTCTCTTCCACTGTCGTGCAAAGGCAGCCATCGGTAATCCTAGATAAACTGGCTGGGTTTCCAGAAAAATTTATTTATGAGCACTTAAATTTGAGTTGTGTATAATTTTCATGTTTCAGGAAATATTATACTTCCTTTTATTTTTTTTTTCCCCTCAATCATTTAAAAACAGAAGAACCATTCTTACTTCACGGGCTGTATTAAACTAGGTGGCCAGTTGGGTAGGGTTGGATAAGGTCCACAGGCTGTAGTTTGTCAACTCCTCTCCTAGTTGTTTTTTTTTTTTTTTTTTTTTTTTCCTGGGTGGGATAGGACAGTCATACGAGGAATCTCCCAGAAGGCTATAGAGTGGTTTGGAAGAAACAGAGAAATTACTTCCTTAAGGGGAAAATGGAGAAAATAAAAAGTAAAAGAAGAAGAAAAGATTGAGACAGATATCAATTGATGGTATATAGTCCATATGCTTTAACTTAGTTCTTCCTGAAAATTCTATGGTATCCATGGTTGCTTCACTCCAAAGTGCTGGAATATCGATTTTCATGTCAACAAGACTTTGGGTCCATCAGAGACACTTCTTAGCATTTGGCCAATAGACAAAGACAGATCAGGAAGGGGTTGTTGTCTGTCACTTTGGGCACTTGAGACCAAGGCCTTGAAACCACAGTAGACCAGAGGTCTGCTCTGAGATACAGGTATATACACCTCTAGGTATAAATGCTGCTTCGAAAGCTGGTGTGCCAAGGGAAAGGCTCGTTGTTTGTAGAGGGAATTGTTTTTAAATTTAGCAAAAGTGAAGCAGGCCATTTCTAAAAGGTTGGTTTGATGGTCTAGATTTTAATTTCATGCCTCTAATTCACAGATTTGTCTTACTTCCTCCTAAGATAATATCATTGGTGCTTTGGGGGTATGGTGTGTGAGAGTATGAATTTTGAAGTCATGTAGACTATGGCTCAAATAGGAGTTTTATCTCCTAACACTTAAAAAAAATTTTTTTTAAATGTTTATTTATTTTTGAGAGAGAGTGAGAGACAGAGCATGAGCATGGGAGGGGCAGAGAGAGAGAGAGGGAGACACAGAATCCGAAGCAGGCTCCAGGCTCTGAGCTGTCAGTACAGAGCCCGACATGGGGCCCAAACCCATGAACCGTGAGATCATGACCTGAGCCGAAGTCGGATGCTTAACCGACTGAGCCACCCAGGCGCCCCTGTCTCCTAATATTTTTGTGACATTGGGAGGACATTTAATTTCTTGTAGATTGAGGTTCTCCATTTTTGAAATGGGGATAATTAAGAATGATTCCCTCATAGAGTTGTTTTGGGGATGAAATGAGATGATATGTGTGAAAAGTAACATAGTCTCTTGCATCCAGTACCTAATATTCCTGCTGTTTTTGACATGACTATTAACTACTTTTGGTGCTGTTGATGTTGTTAATTGCAATTCTCAGTGGGTACCTGTGACGGGCTACTGGGTGATCGCTTGGTTATACTGGGAGCTGAGTAAGCTAAATTTTGTCAGTTATATTCACAAGAACTCCCCATTTGGGATTTGGGAATGAGGGTTTAAACAAACTATCCTCAACTGTACTATACAAACCATGGCTGTTTTTGTGTATAAAGTTTTACTGAAACACAACCATGCCCACTCCTTTGGGTATTGCCTACGGCCCCTTATGTGGTGGGGTTGAGTAGGTGCTACAGACTGACCAAAAGACCTAGGATATCTTTATCTGGCCCTTTAGAGAAAAGGTTTACCAACTCCTGCTCACATTGAGATAGCTTGGGTTTTTGAGCAGATATTAGCCTGACTCATAAACAGAACTGTTCAGAGATTTGGAAAATGTCTTCTTTTTAAAAAAATTTTTTCCTCCCTTGCATTTTCCCTTGAGCTGCAATGTCCTCAGCAAGTCTAGTTAGCATTCAGAAGGGAGTCTGGTGGAAAGGACTGGGGAGGAAGAAAGAGATGAATGGAGAAGGATGTGCTACAGGAGCTGGATCAGGGAGAGGGTTGGGTGTTGGCGCTCCTGGGGTCCCGTGCCCCTGGGTTACTGCGTCCTGCTCAGTAGGCTGCCTTTGTGGAGGTGGGGTTTGGTGCCTGATGCTGACCCAGTTACTCTGCTGGCATCCCACCACGTTCACTTTAGGAGAGTTGTGCAGGTTTTCGAGCTGGGGATATTGTCACAACAGTAGTTCATTAATGTTAGTGTAACTTTCGCATTAGGACTAACCAGGTTATTTCTGTTTGTCCGTATCATTTTGGGTAATGCACACTTCCTCGTTACATTTGAGATGCTAAAATCTTTACTTCTGTAGGCTTATCAGACAGTGCCACTGTGAACATCTAGCATAGAGGACTGTTTATTGAGGAGCCTGGAAATACGTGCTCTGGTCCCATTGGGATCATCTGAAGATTGGTTATCTCTCTGGGTTTTATTTTCATCTACTGTAAAAAGGGGGTGGGGGTCATAATATCTGAGTCCAATGTGAAAGTCTCATGCATAAGAGATACGAAGTGGAACATAAATGTAAGATATTATTATTGTTAAATGTTAATAATAGCTTTGTAATTTCAAGATTACTTTCTATCTTTGGGTTTATTTTCCTTATTCCAAGATAGGGACAAAAGGGGAAAGACCTCTTTATGTATTTCAGAATTATACTGGAAAAAAAAAAAACCCAAAGATTGAATAAGAGTATCTCACTGGAAATATTAAAATAATCTCACTGTTAGTTTTACTTGACTAAGACACAGATATTTTTCTGTGTTACTTGAAGTGATGACAGCTCATGAATTTTGGAATTTGCCCAGAACTTCTGTAATTATTACACAAAAAGTAACAAATGCTAGGTACGTCATTGTTGCCGGAAAGGGAAATGAGAAACAAATCTGGAGCAAGTTCAAGGGGAAATTGGAGGCATTTTTATAAAGCTATCTGTAGAGACTTGGGGAAATGTAAGTTGCGGTTTCTTCTCCTACCCTTTTTTTACTTACCCTGTTTGATTTTCTGCATTTCAGGTAATCCATACCTCATGTTCCTTCTGTGTAGAAAGAGTCTATCAACCAGTACAAGGGGGGACAATTCTCATTGTTAGAGGAATCCAAAATTGAGATGAGTGATGCCAAAACTACCTGCAAGAAGTGTCTGGTGTTGTGCTGAGCAGTGGTCAAGCAGGATTATTCTAAGAGGCATTCCAGCTGTGGCCAGGACATCATAGGAGGAGGCATTCAAGGTCCCTTTTCATTGTCCTGGTTGGTGACATACTCGGCTGTACAATGGAGACCAAAAGAGGACATATCTTGCAGGATG